GGAACAACAAGGAGAGACTCCTCCTAGCCGACGCCCGGGGCCTCCAGCAGGTGTCTCCATTCCCGACGGCGCTGCATGACACCGCATTGCTCCGCCTCAACTACTTCCCCTCCTAGGGCGCTGCTGTCGGTGGCAGGAGACACGGCCCAGGTGCCTAACGGCCCCGCCTCAGCTACGCCAGCCTCACCTGGGCCACTAGCTCGCCCTCCTTCGCGGCCAAGCGCAGCGTGGGGGCGCGCGCGCGCTGACTTGCCCGGGGTCAGGAAGGAGCCGGGCGGCCTCTGCAAAAGTTCAGAGCCCAACTTCCGCGCTGCGTTCCGGGAGCCCCGGCCCGACGCCACTCACCGCACTCAGAATGCGCGCGATGACCTGCGGCTGCTGCAAGAAGCGCCACGGGTCGAAGGTGCCGCCCGCCTTGGCAGCTCCGTAGGCACCGCCGCCGCCGCCGCCGTCGCCGCTCTCCATGACTCAGGCGCCGCGCTCTGCTGCCCCGCTCCCGGCCCGGAACTCGCGGTGCCCGCCTCGCCCCGACTTGTGTTTGCGCGTCCGCAAGCCCCGCCTTCCCACTCCGCCCCCAGGGGAGGAGAGCCGACCCGGGACCGTGGAAGCCACGAGGGTCGCGCCCGCCGGGTTTCCTGCCTGGAGAGCGGCGCCGGCTTCTCGTGCTTCAGCGCACTTCGCAAGCTGGGTTTCAGATTTATGGCCGCTTGGAACTAAGGTGCAAGCCGTACTTCAGGGATAGAGGGTCTCAGGCGGGCCCGGAGCTTTCCCCAACCTACAACCCAGCCCAGGGTACACCCCTCCTCACCAGCGCCGTTTCATATCCTCTTAGATATTTGTTTTTTGCTCGCTCTTTCAACTTTGACAATGCCTCTTTGCTTCTCTGGATGGAGGACAGAGACCCCATCAGCGCTATGCGTTTAAAGCTGTATGCCACTAAAGAACCCCCTCCCCCCCCCAAAAAAAAATCCTGGGAACTGTAGATTAAGAGTGATGGTGGAGGTTAGGAGACCCCCTTTCCCCACCAGAGAGCTGTAATTCCTAGCATCCCCTAGAATAGAGTTTGAATGGGGATTGTAACTTTGTGATAGGAAGAGGAGGTCTCCTAACAATGCTCAGCATCTTTAACGGACTACAGTTCCCAGGATTCTTTGGGTGAAAGCCACGACAGCTTAAAGTGCTATGGCGCTACTTTACACGGATAACGCAGATGGGGTCAGAGTGTCGTGTGCGCAAGTAGAAACTAGTCTACCGTACAAAGGAAAAATAGAAAACCGTATTTCAGCTTGTCTCTGCCTTAGATCTTATTTTGGGGTACAAAGGCATGAAAACGTCAGTTCCTCATTTATACTGTTCCGTGCTAAATAAAAGACTGAGAACTAGAAAGAAGGATCTGGACATCAGCTTAAATCTCATACTGCATGCAGTGAGTCTTGTTGCAGGCACATTCATTTAAGAAACGAGGCAGACTTTACCCCTCCCCCCCTCTTGTACCCTCCCCAAATCTGCTCTGAAAGGTTGGGGAAAACACCTAGGACAGATTTAGGTAGTGCACAGGGGAGGAGAGGGAGGGAGTGAAGTCCCTTTGCACTGGCAGTAATCCTTGTGCTAACAGAATGCAACCCCATACATTTTAAGCATATGGCTTCTCCTAGAGAATTATGTAGGGCTGCCATACGTCCAGATTTTCCCTGACATAATGGGATTTCAAAGGCAGAAGTGACATGGGGGGATTTCTGCAGTAGTACAACAACATCTGGAGACCCAAGGTTGAGAAAGGCTGGAAGAGATCATAGAAGCGGGAAGAGAAACCAGACCCAGACAGTGGGATTCCCCCCAAAAAACCATGTCAGTGGAAGTGTTGCACAAAGGTGCTTTTCCTAATCTCTTCCCATTCATAGGCCCTTTCAAATGGGTGGGGGGAGAATTCTTAAAACAGTGCACAGGATGAGTTGTTTCTGGGAAGCTGAAATGCTTTCTCAGACAGAATGTTTGTAATAGTGCAGTGTTGAATTCCACCCTGAGTGGAATTCTTGAGGCAATCAGACATCACTCTTGCTTGCAAGCTAAGAGAGCATTTCACATAAAAACAAGTGGCTTTGTAAGTGTTGCTTTTTCTTTTCTTTGTCTGTGTTTGTAGATTAATACCATTTCAAAATCGTTTTGAACTTGTCTGATTTATGGCTATTTAGTTCACCTGATGGGGAGACCCCAGTGGACTTCAGGCTTGCACTTTTACGGAGGGCAGTAGGATCCCTGTTAGAGAGTGTTGGGGTTATACTATAAAAAACAACCCCTCCCCAAACAAAATCCGAGTAGACCACAGGAAGACTTTATTATGATTATGCTGCACCTTTTTTTTTGCACCACAGAGGTAGCTGAAAGTAGCATAGATTCATTGTAAAAACCAAGCTGTTGAGAGGTTTGCTCTGTGAAGGATAAAACGGATCTAATTTTTATTTTATTTTTAAATTAAAAATTGAAACTTAGAATCTCCTAATGAGCTACAGTCCCCTGAACTAGAGTGACAAAAGGAGGGAGTATTCCATATGAATTCCTTGGCAGAGAAAAAGAAGATGGGGGGTGATAATTGGGTGGGATTAGTACAATGGATGGAAAACACCTAGGAAATCCAATTTCTTGCCACAGCTTTGTCCAAAAACAACAACGGAGACAACAATCATCACTGTCCTAAATCCATCCTAAATCAGAGAAAAAGAGCTGAATGTGCTATTCAGCTCTCAGAACTGAGGTTTTATCTGCACAGTCCTGACCCATTTGTTTGTTGAAATATTTATGTCCCACCTAAAATTCCGGAGGCAGATGAAATATGGTCTTAGCTGCCCTAGGAAACAGAATCAATGTAAGTAATGTCTGAACGATGCATATAAAACAGCAGTGAGGAACCTGTTGTTGGACTCTGACTCCCATCACTCCATCCAGGTCTAGTGTCACAACAGGGATGATGGGAATTGTAGTTCCCCCACCTTTGACAGAAGGCCAGAGATCTCATTTGGTGAGGAGGAACAAGAAGCTTTATCCAGCACTGGCCCAGTACAGGGAGCAAAGAATAACCATTCAGTATAGAGTAGCCCAGCCTGGTCTCTCAGTAGAAACATGGCTAGTGCCAGAGGTTGCCATAACCCAGACTCCCTAAGCCCATTCACCTCAGAGCCATTGCTGCCTTCTTGACCTTCGTGAGAGCCAGCATGGTGTAGTGGTTAAGAGTGGTAGATTCGTAATCTGGTGAACCAGGTTCACATCTCCGCTCCTCCACATGCAGCTGCTGGGTGACCTTGGGCTAGTCACACTTCTTTGAAGTCTCTCAGCCCCACTCACCTCACAGAGTGTTTGTTGTGGAGGAGGAAGGGAAAGGAGATTGTTAGCCGCTTTGAGACTCCTTTGGGTAGTGATAAAGCGGGATATCAAATCCAAACTACTCCTCTTCTTCTTCTCTTGGCATGGAGACCAGCCAGGTCAGAGGTAACGGGGCACTATATTGGTAGAACATTGCACCAAGTGAGGCTGTCCCCCATATAATTTCCTGTGGTGGAAAAGAGGATTATGGGTTGTTCTCTTAGTTTATACACCCAATTCTCCTTCACACCTCTTGACAGTTGAAAGACACCCATAAGGATATGGTCAGCTGTTGGGTGAAAAAACTTTAGCCCACATCCTCTGCAGCTGTTTCCTGAAAGGCAGATTTAATTTTCTTTGTAATATGTAGCTTAGTGCCTCTAAGTCGTTTTTGCTAGTACAATCCCCTAGTACATATCTGGGTTCATTGGACTGTCTTCTCTGGAGGCAAAACCATTTAAAGCCCTGGCTCTTGAAATGGTCTGAGAGCACATGAGGTTACCACCTAGTAGTTTGTTGCAGGGCAAACTATAAGCACTGCAAATGTGAATTTAAAAAGCAGAGGGAAAGACATTGCATAAGAGTTCTTAAGAGAGAGGTGCAACAAATGGTTTAGCTGTATAGAACACCCAATCCCTCTGACTGCTGGAATCTGTGCCTAACTAAGCCCTCTCCAGACATTGCCCATAATGTTCTGCTTCTTTGTAAAGAACATGTCATATCCGTTCAGAGAGTCTGAGAGTGCCACATTATAAACAATGCATTACATTCTGTAGTTACTGGACGAACTTGGAGGAACTCCGCGTTGCACACAACATCCAGCAAGAAGAGAACACGAGGCTTGAATCTTAGACAACAGCATGAATTCACATCTAGCCAGAGGCAAGACTGTGCGTACACTTTGTATGAAGATATCTGCCGCTTACAGTCTTAAGTGGGGAGAGTGTTGCTAATAGATACAGAACACAGGGGAAGGTATGAAAGGTTTGGACCGCAGTTTCCAAGTTTGCCTCTGACAGAGAGGTACAACATGGTGGGAGTGTATGTTTTAACACAGAGGTTTTCAACCTTTTTGGGTCCACGGCTCCCTTGACCAACTACAATCTTTCTGCGGCACCCCTGTGGGGCTCAGGAGCCCAGTTATGTCACCCCTTGCCTGGAGAGCTGGCAGCCCCTCACTCCTTTTCAAACACCATCCCTTCTGGAGTGTTTCCTCAGCCTCCTCTCTTCTCCCCTCTCCTTGGGAGTCCTCTTGGAAGCTGCAGCTGCCACCCCGGTCTATGAGCTGCCTCCCCTGTCCTAAAGAGAGATGTCTCCTCACACTGCCCTACAGGAGCCTGGCCAGCCCCAGAGGCACCAATCCCCTGGGGAGCTTGTAGCCAGGGCTACTGCAACCAACAGCCGCAACATGAGGGCATCAGAGGTGGAAGTGAAGGAAAGAGGGGCAGTGTTGCCTGTGGGACCCCTGACCATCATTCAAGGCACCCCAGGGCACACTGGTTGAAAACCACTGTTTTGGCAGATTGAGGTATGTTGGTTTAGGACTATGCAAGCTTCCAAGTTATGCAGAACTCTTCATGTGATTGTCAATCTGATCCACATTGTGTACAACACACGACTCATATACCAATGCCCTCTTGACATTTATTAGACAAAGCATTTGTTTTATTTTGCAATACCAAAAGATCATGATCCAGTTAGTAAGCAATCCACCTCAGTGAGGACTGGTGACGTACTCAGTTTCAAATTTTTGTTGAATTAGAATTACTTTGGCATGATAAGGCTGTATATATTCTTGCCATACACCTTACTCTTTCCCCAAAACATCATTTTCAGGCCTGCAGGAACTTGTTCTAACATGAAGTTGGCCAAATAAGGTACAGCAGCTCACAGGGAAGATATGATATTAGGTACCAAACGTACATCCCAGGGACCTGTATGCACAGTGAAAAAGTATGTATTGTACCTATCTAAAAGATAAAGGGTATGATAGGGTAGTTCTATGAGCCAACTTGTGTTCACAGGAAAATGAGGTCTTCCAGCATATAATGTTCAAATCACACTCGGGGGCTTCTTTTGCTTCTTGAATCCAGGTATGCTTTGACCATTCTATGGTCTTTGCTTTCCTCAGGAGCAAGACCATCTTTTTCCTGCCTGTTGCCCTGCCACCAGAAGTTTTCGTCCTTTGGGAGGCCTTTCCCCTCTGCAACCCAACTCACAGTTGTTTCACCAGCCGCTGAGCCAGTTTCCTCACTAAACACCATTTCTCCTTGACACACTGGACAGAGGAGCAAAAGGAGAAACAGGTTACATAACCTAACATTACATGAGCCAGAGAACAGATCATCACACAGTCACAGGTTACCAGAGGTGCATGATTATTGCACACCATCTGGCATCCTTCTGTAACATTGCAGGACCACTTTACCTGCACACGTTGCCTCTTGAGCCTTTCAATGATGTGTCTGTTTGCTTGCACCTGAGAAACGTACACTGTAAGGATGAGGCTATGGAAGAAAAAGAGAGGCCATCACACCAATAGTTTGTGGAATATTGGTTCCCACTTACACACCAGGCCAGACAGGGAAACGGGATGCCACCTGCAAAAGGCTGGGTGAGTACAAAACCATCTGCTAAGTTAAATTTAATCAAGGTTAAACTGAGAGATAACAATCTGTTTTAGAGCATTTGTAGTTGGGTCACTCACCAGGAGCCTCTTTTTCCTGCTAGTAACATCAAGGCATCAAAGGGATGATCAGGTGTGCTAGCAAATGTCTGATGCTGATGCTATTAAAAAATTCCATCCTTGACTCTTATACTGGTCTCCCATACAAGGGATTGACCAGCTCCACACCTGCTTAGTTCAGCTGCAGCATCTGCTTCTGGACCACTCAGTGGATACACAGCTACACTATCATGTATAGTTACACAGAGGCCTGCCAGGACTCTGACATTTCCTAAAATATTGGTACAGTAATTTTTTCAAATGTGACTCTTCATTTGCCAGAACTATGGGACTTTCATTAACTAAAAAAAGGGGGGGAGCTACACTCCTTTTTCATTAATGGCAAAGTTTCCATTGAAATTACTGTGATCACAATCCAACACTGGGGTGTGCTTGAGCCACCTTCCTTTTGGGGTGAGGCAGTAGAATTAAGAAGTAGTGTTTACAGAGGACAGGTCTCTTGCTCAAGTGGCCCTGAGTGGTCAGGCAGATGGTCAGATTTAGCTTGAAAGGAGCCATGGAGGCTGTTCTGTGTCTGGAAAGGCCAGTGACGGTAACACACCACTTTTGCAACAGGGTCCAGGCCAAGAAACAAGGAGGTTGCTTGCCTTGCAAATAATTCAACAACATATGGCCAGCCCTCCCTCCTTTGGTATTCCTCCATCCATGTCCCTCCCAAAGTACCCACCTGAGTACCATCAGAAGTAAGAAACAAAAGACATTGGATGTCACATAGCTCAAGGTACGTTGTGTTGACATGGGTAAATGGGACAAAGCCTTAGGTACTGCCTCCCATGGAGTTGAATAATTAGTAAAAAGCCCACAAGCTTGGGATGGAGAGACCCTGGGAGGAAAAAAGAATGACTGTCAGAATATAGGCTTCATCAACCCCGTACTCTTAAGATGCTCAACCACCTCTCAGCTCACCTACTGATGACATAGCCCAGAGGGACGTAGGCCTGGAAAAGGCCTAAGAGTAGCATGATCTGGAAGAGGAATTTAGAACGGGATGCTCGAAACAGCTGAGTTGAAGGCTGGCAGTTCTGGAACAAGGTGTACTGTGGGTGAGAAAAAGAGACAGAGTGAGCATGCCTCCGGAACCCTCACACATTCCCAGAGATATAAAACCCATGAGACTTTGCAGAAGGATGACTGCCATGGGGTGGGGTGGGGAGAGAGAGAGTGAAGGGCCTTCATTAGGAAGCAGTTGCTTTTATACCATACTTCCTGGGATTCAGCCAGCAACTTCAGTCCCCCCCCTTGACCCCAAAGGTGAACAGCTCAATACCGCTTTCAAATATATTGCTAAAGCCTTCACATCAGAGCTGCAAACATATATTGAAACGCCCCCTGAAGAATCATGGGAACTGCAGTTTACCCCTCACACAACTACAATTCCCAGCACACTTAAGAAATGACAGTTCCCATGATTACTTTTTTGTGGGGGTGCTTTAAATTATGATTTATATGCAGCCCAGGTGTTCACAGTACCTAGGGCCAGGTTGCATCCAACCTGCTACAGCCAGGTTCAATGGCTTCAAATGCATACATGCTAGCAACAGCTGTGGGCAGGATGAGGTCAGTAACCATCAAAGTGAAGGTTTGAGTCTGGGTGGGACTGCCTCCAAGAGAGGTGAGTTCAGAGAAGCAAGTTCCTTACCCTCCGCCTCTGGTCTTCCTGTGTGGGTTGCTTGCTGCTACCAGCAATTTCTCTGGTTTGAGAGTTTGTAACTCCCGGAATCCTCTACAGTCTCTTGGCCAAGATCATGGCCATCTTCCCTGGCACGGTACAAGCCAAGAGGATGAGGGGCTCAAAATAGGGCCAGATCCACAACCCACGTTATGATGGGCATGATAGGTACTCTTTGTGTGTACTCTCAAACACCCACACATACACACATGTATACACAACCTTTACCTTTTTCAATAACGTGCAGTGAATTTTTTCATAGGGGAACAGTTAGGGCAAGAGACACCAGCTTGCAAGGGCGATTGGGGGCGAGGCTGATGTCACACCCATGAACATCATGCCTCCTTCCCTAAGCTGGGCAGAAGCTTCCCAGGCTTTGGGAATGAGGCGCCAGGGGAACATTAAGGGGACTAGCCTAGTCCCCTTAGTCCAATGACCGCGTGCCACTGACCTTTTTTATATAGAATGTGAAGAAGACGAAGACACAGGCAAGCAAAGGCAGAAGTGGGCAGAAGAAAATCCCGATCCATATGACTGTTTGAGCTGCTACAATATCCAGTACATTGTGAGGCACCAGGAACTCTTCTTTGCCAAGCCACTGAGCCAGACCACAGGAGGAATGCTTAGCAATCAGTCTGAGAGAGAGAGAGAGAGAGAGAGAGAGAGAGAGAGAGAATATTAATTCAGAGGCCGCTGGCAGAACCTCTTCCAATAACTGCAGCTGGGTACCATGCCACTGAATTCTGCCTCTTTTGCATAGGGAGCACATATGCTTATTCTCCCTTACTAAAAACACCCTGCAGTCAACAACGATACAATGGGCAGATCCGCACATTTAAAGCATATGACTTCGCCCAAAGAAGTCAAGCTTCCCCCTCACAGAGCTACCGTTTCCAGCATCCTTAACAAAGCACAGTTCCCAGAAATTCTTTGAGGGAGGTCATGAGTGTTGAATATGCTTTGAATGCAGAGCATGCATCTGCCCAATGACAGCTACCCTGCAACTGGACCACCTGGCATCCCTACTGGGAGGCAGGAAGATGAGATAAATACCTGTAGATCAGGGGTAGTCAATGTGTGCCTTTGGGGTATGTGTGTTTTTTGGCTCCAGTTCCTATCACCTCCAGCCAATCTAGCCAGTGGTCAGCAACAATGAGAGTTATAGTCTAACAATGTATGGCCATGTATTATGTATGGCTATCCCTGCCATACATAATACTTTCCCAAGAAAGGAATGGTCTGCCCATTTGTGGAAAGAAAAGGCTGAATGAGGGCTTAACCACACTTAAATTCCCTCCATGCTTTCCAGGGACTGTCTGCACTTTAAAGCTCTGCATCCAAGCACCCTTTTTTTTGTGTTCAAGCTTTCCCAGCAAAACCCACTCTTTAAAGCTCAATTGGAGCACACGACAATCCATGGAAAACCCGAATAGCCATTTGCTCGGATACAGCTTTAAAGATTTCACAGGGAAAGCTCTGGAACAAAAAAGGTGTGCTCAGACACAGAGCTTTAGAGTGCAGACCTGTGCCTGGAAAGAGTGGGCAAAAGGTAAGTATGGAAAAGCCCTGGGTTAGGCCAGGAATCAAGGAAATCAGAAGAGTAGGGTAGACTAGCATTAGTTATGATCTCTTGCCTCACCTCCGGGGCAGGCTGATAAGGAAAGCAGATCCCAAGGTGGTCAAGAAACTGAAGAGGGTCATCTTGTACATCTCTTGTCCAATGTGGGTTTCCCAGCACTGCATGCACAATCAGGAGAGAGATAATGTCTTATGGTGAGTATATGGAAGGAAAAAAGAAAGAGAAGGGAAAAAAGGAATCCTAGACATGTCAGGCACATTTTTATAAGCATAGTATATTGTAAGTATATGGTGTTAAATGCAAAAAAGAAAAAAAGAAAAAGCTAAGTTCACATTAAGCATGCACAATACAACATTATATAGGTAATAGAATGTATGGAGAATTGTTGTATAAGTTGCAAATTTCTAACACATTAGTAACTCCAAATCTGGGGGACTTTAATTGCTAATGATCAACCAGGCTTTCCTCATTGCTGGAATTGGGATCAAACAAGGTGTGTGTTGACGGGGGTGGGGTGGGGGGTGGGGAGTGGGAATCTACAAAATAAGGGGAAAATGATACATTGACACGCAGACAAAAGAAGTACCAGGAAAAGGAATACTCAAAGATGTCTAGACAGCCGAAGAGCCATTATAGAAATTGAAAACCAAGTTACGCAGCTGGGTGCTTAAAGGTGAAATATACTTTTGTCACTGCACCAAGTCAAGGACTAACTAGCTCTTTGCCTTGCCAGCTAATCATACCTTGCTTTAGAAAACTTCATACCCGAACACATTATGTCTGGGCCACATTTGCTCTAAACAGGAAAAGTTCAGCTGAAATATCCCATCCATGTCACCTGATAGAGTTTGTTGTAACCGCATTGGTGGCACTCAGGAGCACCGCCGCTCCCTATGCATAGCACTCTGCGTCCCAAGAAGAACATGAACATTCCCAGGCTGGACAGTTTCAGGATTACACACCTGCGAGAGACCACAAGAGAGATTGGGCCTGCACCTTACACTTGGTTTCCACCCCACTAATCCTACCATATAAGCCAGTGCTTGAGATTACCACCTGACCATGAATGGATCCAACTATCCATCTTACCACACATTTCCCCACACATCTGTCCCTAAAGTGGGGCGTTGCTTGGGCCTGATGCACTTTGCACTTCAAAACTTCTGAAAGATCTGGATCTTTTTAACATTCCACAATATATTTTTATAACAGCTACTGCATTGCATATCTTAAATCTGTATATATTTGGTTGCTCTTTGGGTTATGGCATTATAATTCTAATTAGCATGGGTGGCATTCAACTAAGTTTTACTCAGAGTATATCTATTTAAATAAATGAGCCATTTATTTCGAAGGGTTTACTGTGAGCACAATTTAGTCGACCGCTATCCTATTAGTTTAGGAAGACAAAGGAATGGGGAATTTTGACAGTAAAAGAACTAAGGTATATTAGAAATGCATTGATGATGTTCATAAACACATACATTACATGACTGCATCCCCCCTGAAAATATAATAATCTTTTTTGAATTGCACTCCTCAAGTTTTCTTTGTGTTTACTATTTGTCAACGGGAATCGATAAAATACACATTTTAAAAGTATATATTGTTGCTGTCAGCATCTGCCTGTCTCAGGAAGTATTGATTTTACTGCATTCCCGTTTGCCCGCTTGAATCATTTGTGCCATTGTAAGGGATATCAATCCCTTCTTGATTGTTCTGCTTCTTCCCTCATACTTTCACTGCCATATTTACAATAAAGGATATTGGGCTTGATGACCGACTGGAGCAACTAGTGCTTCCCAACTTAGAAAGAGAGAATAGCGAAACTAAAACAAAGCATAAAAAACTCTGCTTGCAGCTCAAAGTAATTTAAGGCCTGCAAACTCCTTATACCACGAGAAATATATCTGCCCCAGGTTCCCCACCAAGATGAAAACAGCTACCTGACTAGGGTGAGGTTGACTTCAGTATTAGGAGAGTAGCCTTCCAACTGGGTCAAGACATGAAAAAGTAAAGGCAGGATGACATTCACAATGGAGATGACCACTGGTGGCAGGTACTGGCTCAGTACATCAAGGCTGGCAGCATTTTTCTGGAAGTACAGAGATGGATTAGTTATGGGGAGGCACATTTGTGCCTAGAATCAAAACACAGAGGAATATTTCCTGACCACTCAGTACCAAAACACGGTGCAAAAAGTCAGGACCACCAAACTTACTGACTTTTCAGAGTGGTACCTTCTGCTTACTGCGTGTCAGGCTTAATCCCTCACCCTAGCCCAGATTCCTGGTCCAGCTGCAGCAGCTGTTCTCCAAGAGCACACAGCTGAGTTCTGGATTGAGGTACAGCCACCCACAGCCCCACTCTGACCCTGGCAAGGGATGAAGGGTTGTCCTACTTGACTGTGCCCCTGGGAAAACTCAGTGGCTGCGTAGATACAGTAGAAAGCAGCCCCTGTCAGCAGCAAGATGACACCATTGATCAGCAGGCGTAGCAGGTAGAGCTTAGCAAGCTGCTTCCGTGTGCGCTGTTGGTTCTGCAGATGCCGGATCTGCTCCGCTAGGTCTATCTGTGAAGAGAAACCAAGTTGGTCACTTGCTATTTGTGCAGTTGAGCATGCGGAGGAGAGGTTTGCTTCCAGGCTTCAGCATGCAAAGGAGAGGGAAGACCCAGTCAATCTAGTAGGCGTGCACGGCCCAGGAGAGCCATAACACCTTGAGCACAGAAGGGACATAATAATCTGAGGCTAGAAAGAATGACTGAAACAAAGCAAAGCAATCCCTTGTTGCCTTGGGAAATGTCCTTTGAGGTGGGAACAGGAATTGAAGGATATGATTCCTGTTTCCCTTTGCTTGTTGCCCCTACAATGCTTGTTCTCTTTGCTTTCACCCAAGACAGGTATTGTTAATTGTTGCTGCCTGACTTGCAAGTGAAATAAGCAAGGAAGTAACGCAGGGCCTGAAGAAAAGAAAATAATGGCACCTGTATCAAATTCTGCAGCTCCACTTGTGCAATAGACTTCTATGCATGCAACAGAACTTCCTCTTCCTCTCCACTCAAAATCAGCTCCAGAGGGTTGGGAGACCTCCCAGAGCAGACTGAGGTGGGGTGGTACACAGTGGGAGGACAAGAAAAGGAAGCCTCATTATGCAAGCAGAACACCGCTTGTGCAACATTGGATTCAACCCTGGTTTGTTTGCTTTTTCAGTTCAGCCAAATTTAGGCAATGGCTGAGGTTTCGTCCAAAAATTTTTTTAAAATTGAATGGATGTGTATACATACTTGAAAGGATGACGCAGTGAAAGAGGTGGGACTTTTGAGGACATGAGCAAATTATCATGAAACCCGATAGGCAATTTCCATGTACCTTTAGGTGATTGTAAATATTCCTCTGTTTGAGGGTGGCTGCCTCTGGGCTTTGGATGCAGAAATCCCACTCTGTGAAGATCCTGGCACTGACACATGGTTTGAATTCCCACCGCAGCATCTGCCACCGGGCCACGCTGGCTACAATCCTGAATATTGGGACAGGAGTGAAGATTGTCACAGGCAAGCAAGACTTTTCTCCTAGCAAATTAATTCCTTTGCTCCGAGCAGTATATAGAACTCAGTGCGTTGCATAAGAAGTTCCACTGTGTCACTGCAGCAGGTCCAGCCCAAGATATGTGAATCAACATGGGAGTAACACCCAGTTTCCAGAAAGAAGGAGATTGCAAGTCTGCACAGGGATATATGCTATGATGTGAAAGTGTGCAAATCAGTTGCAGGGAGTTATGAAGGCAGAAAAGATGCAACAGTTTAGGAATATTAGCTTGGTCCACTGATGGAGGATTACCTAGTGATGCTTCAGAGTATGAATGTTTTCTGGGAATAGTAGGAAAATTCGATGGGAATGAGTTAGGGATGCAGAGTCTCAAGAAGACTGAGCTGATCTACCATGGCAGGATCTCAACACATAGAATGTTGTTGTAACATGAATAAATGCTAGACTTATTGGAGAAAAGGTAGGGAGTGAAGAAGGAAGAAGAATAGATTTTTGCCCATCAATGTCTGATTAGATCAAACACTCTGTGAGAATGATTGGGCACTGGAATATGCTCCCAACAGAAAGTGTATAATTTCCATTCCCAGGGAATTTGAACATGCCAGGAATAGGTTAGAGCAGAAGTTGGGGAACTTGCAACCTTCCAGATGTTGCTGAATTACAGCTTCCAATGGGGCCAATGGGAGCTGAAGTTCAGTAACACCTGGAGGACCTCAGGCTCCCCATCCTTGGGTTAGAGAAATGTTATTCTGACTGTATGTAAGATATGGGAGTATATAACCTACTGAATTAATACAAGGAAAGAGTCAGCATTTTAAGTGGGTCATCATAAGCCATTGTGTATGTAAATCCCTATTCATGAATCCACTCCCTTGCCCTGCAACTCCTTGCTTCTCTCCTGCTCCCTGTTCCAAACCCCTGCTGTCAAGCCTAGAAAGGCCTGGGTCTCAGCCATCATCACCTTACCGCCGGAGGATCCAAATGAGGCAGGCAAAGAAGTATCCCAGGATGCTAAGCAAGTATGCTAAGTGTACATTGTAGTGGTTCTTGCTATCCTGTGTTACATGATAAGCACCATAAAACAGGTACGAATTCTCCAGAGAGCCCTAAGGATGGAACATAAGAGGAAATTACAAGCCAGCCTTATGCTTGCAGATTAACCCAACTCATAACGGAGGAGTATGGAATCTGTGGGTCCTCCAGATGTTTGCAGGACTCCAACTCCTCTCACCTCTAACCACTGATTGGCCATTCTGGCTGGGCCTCTTGGAGTCGCTGCCCAACAACACTTGGAGAGCCACTGCTTCCTGTCCACTGCCATAATACTTCTCTAAGGACTTTCTAAGTCTGAATCATAGAATGCAGTGAGTACAAAGTTTGGATAAGAACCACCACCCATTAACCCAACATTGTCCTTCCTGCTCAACTCCAAGCTATATTTGTCTTCCCAATTGCTCCATTTTTGTCCATTCTTTTTCAAACCCCCCCCATCTATAACCACTTGCTTAGGCAGCATTGCACCTCCATCAGCCTCCCCTCTCCAGCACAGTAAACTCCAGTCTCTATTTCCAGCAGACTCACCTCCCCGGTGAAGATATCTTGGAATCGTTGCCAGGCAGATCGATAACTGACGTTACTGCTGTACTTTATGCATTCAGGATCTGGGGGGAAAGACTGGGTAGCTTTATAGCACTAGACACTCTGACACTTAGATGTCAGCATAGGATCTAATCCAGGTGGGATGTTGGGGAAAGCACAAATGCTCTTGGAAGTACCAGCAGAGACTCACCTGCACTCAGACCTGTAGGAAATATCGTCGTATTTTGAGAAATGATAACAGGCAACAGTATGAAGCCTGTGGCCAGCAGCACAGCCAGGAAGTTGATGAAGAGCAGGAACCTCAGGAAGGTAAAGTAGGACTGGATGCCAGGACCAAAGTTCCCTGTACAGTATGTTGAAGAGGATAGCAAAAGTGGGAAACACAGGAAGGCAAGCAGACAGGTATCAGAGGGGATGGGGAGGATGAAAGTGACACACAGGATAAATTCTGTCCCAGATCCACAGCCCTTTCTTCATTCACATGTAGTATTGCTAACTGTGGCTGGTTCCTATCTGGCCTGACAGGGGATTCCGCCTGCTGTGTCTACTTCAGTGCCAGTCAAGCAGAGGTTATCTTGCATTTTGAAACTGTTCACACATATCAAAGAGGATAATAACCAAAGTGGGTAGTTTCTTTAGGAGAAAGAACTGCAAACTGCCTCCTCTCCCTAATGTACACAACAAATTCACAACTCCTTGGTTACCCTCTGCTAGAGGAAAGCAAGATTTATTTATTTGTCTTCTTCACAAACCATGTGGTCAACCAGCCTGCAGAGGTCTCCCTTGCCCCACACCAGTTAGAGATAGGTTATCTGTAGTCCAGTTGTTGTATTTACTTTAGTATATATAACCAGCAGCCCCTGCCATTTATAATACCAAGTCCCTTCTCAACACAGAGAGAACTTTATATTTTCTTCAAGTGCTGATCTGACGTCCTGCAAGGAGTGGACCCTGGGTTTCAAATACCAGGGGTGCCCTGTGCAATGCCAAAATTTGGCACCCCCAGCCTCTTGCACTCCATTCTAAAGCATAATTGCAGTGTCCCCTGCGTTGTCCCCGAGGTTCTGCACCCAGTGTGACTGAACCAGTTGTGCTCGCCTAAATCTGCCTCTGATCCCACCCATTTTCCCTTTAGAAGTAGCCCCACCTTGTTTGCTGCCACTGGACCAAACTGGAAACCCCAATGACATTCCTTGGGTAGATGAACTTTGAAAGGTGAAAAACCATTTCCCACTGTTACCTCCAATCTCATCCAGGGGAGGCTTCCAGAGCTGGAAAATCCTGACAAGGTTCCAGATTCCTTCCTGAAACTGCTTCTGGGCCCTGGATTGTCTCTGTCTCCAGACCACCCAGCAGGACACATCTCTCCCTGCGGATACTCTCAGCTGCCTGTGCAAGGGAGAATGGGTTGAGTTTAGAATGGGCCTTCTGAATCAGTGAAGCTTTGGGAGATGAGGTTAGGAGAGGACCACACGTCCCACCCCATCTTCCGGTTGAATATCTGCACTTACCTGCCTCACGCTGGGACAAAGCCTCCCTTTTGATACACTTCTATTTTTAGTCAGCAGGTTCCTCTGCCCTGCCAAGCCCCACTGATCCTTTATTTTATTATCTGCAATTCTTTGATGCTTCTGTGTCATATCAGAACCTGCTACAGTGGAATGGGGGAGCTTTTTCAGTTCAGGGGGGCTACATTCCTGCATGCGCAATCTTCTGGTAGGCTGGTAGGCGGGGCCAAGGGCAACTGTGAGTGGAACAATGACTGTGACTCTTCACTTTGTACAGTTGGCCACCAAAAATCCACAGGTTTTTACACCACATGGCTGGGTTAAAGCAATATATCTAAAGTAGAAACAAACCAGCTCTGTTGTGGGAAGGAAGGGAAGGGGGAACAAAAATTGTGTGCCTTTTCTTGCCAAGTACTGCATGGTTTTAGCAACCAGCCTGCACAATTACAATCAATTACAGTGGTACCTCGGGTTAAGTACTTAATGCATTCCGGAGGTCCGTTCTTAACCTGAGACTGTTCTTAACCTGAAGCACCACTTCAGCTAATGGGGCCTCCTGCTGCTGCTGCGCCGCCGGAGCACGATTTCTGTTCTCATCCTGAAGCAAAGTTCTTAACCCGAGGTACTATTTCTGGGTTAGCGGAGTCTGTAACCTGAAGCGTATGTAACCTGAAGCGTATGTAACCTGAGGTACCACTGTACATACAAAAGATGTTTTCCCATGTGAGCTTGCTCCAGACCTGAGGAGGCGCTTCTCCTTCATGGAGCAGGGCAAGTCCCTGAGCAGCAACTCCTGGCTACCCAGCTCCTCCAAGGAGTCTTCTGTGCTGGAATCAGAGAGAGCATCGTGCTGGGCAAGTCTGTGCCTCAGGACCGGGGTGCCATCCATCGCTTGAGATCCCTGAAACAACAAGTGTGCACGTGTTAGGGTGTGAGGACCTGGGCAGAGAATAAACCAGATGTGGGACACCTTTTTCAGCCTGAGGTCAGAACACTCTGGAGGACGGAAGGTGAGCAGGGCCAGAGGCAAAAGTAGACGTGACTCTTGGGCTATGTCCAAATCAGTGGCTTATAAAGCAGTGAGGTTGTTTCCCCCTTGCTGCATTTTAAGTCACATTTGCACACCAGAGAGGGAGTGGGGATGTCTTCACCCACAGAACATTACTTTATTTGTTTCAATCGTGACCGCAGCTACAACCACCCCAAGCTCCTATTCATGAAGCTGTCATCTGTGCATGCACAGTGGATGCTCAAATGCTTAACTGTGAAGTGAATGTGGCTTACGTTTTCTCTCTCTCTTTTTGCCAAATTATTTTATTGATTTTCCATAATTTTTAAACAAATTATAACCAAATGAATACAAATTTTTGAGAATGTGGCTTACGTTTTCAAATCAGATAGAAGCTGGTTTGAGGGGAAATGCATCAAACAGCAATATTTCTCAAGAAACTACAGTAGGCACAGACAAACTCAGCCCTCCATATGTTTTGGGACTACAACTCCCATCATCCCTAGCTAACAGGACCAGTGGTCAGGGATTATGGGAATTGTAGTCTCAAAAACATCTGGAGGGCTGAGTTTGCCTATGCCTGAACTACAGGATAGATGTCGATTGTGGCCAACATCTGTACATGGATGGCTTCAAACACTAAAGGGGAAAGTGCACTGGTGCCAGAGTAAATGGTAATGTGTACACAGCTTTGCCTTTATACAGTAGGCTGCGTTCCAGCCACACAAAACTCAAAGGCTTTTACATACAGATGCACACCTCTCTATCCAGGCAAACAAACAATATTTTCTCTATTCAAGGACACTTTCTGAGCCACGCAAAAACACTAGGGGGGGGGGTGCAGAGTAGGGTTTGTGAAGAATATGGCCTAGGGAGAATATCAGGGGCCATAAAGAGAGGCCTGGAAGGCTGAATTTAGCCCCCAGGTCTGAAGTAAAAAAGTATCCCTCAACCTGAATACCTGATACCTCCATTATAATTTGAATGTATCTGCTAGCTGCAGACCACAAAAAAATACCACACAACACTCCTAATGTACCATGACTGCCTTTTAGGCCGCAACTACAGCCCAAATTCTAATTTGTTCCGCTTCATGTTTGACTAGAAATTGGGAAGATAGCTAAAGTAAATTAGGATTTCAACATCTGCCAGTAAAATGACAAAATGACTGTTTCACGTTTAAAGGTGCATATTGTGGTGAAGCGTTTAAATAAACAACAACAACCACAGAATCTTGAACAGCCTCCTAAAAACATATTACAGCCCATTTTTTTAAAAAAAGATGGGGCAAATTTTAGTATGGGGGGGTACACCATGCTAAGATAATACTGTATTTAAGAGATATTGATGACTCTTTCCTAGAGTGCAACTCTATAAAGGAAGCATCAATAGGCCTTAAGTTTACTGTTATCCTAATCCTGTGTTGTGATAAACAACGCACACCAGTTAGAGCCAACTTGCAGCTATTGGGTGCAGTTCTGTTCACGTTCCAGTTTACACAGACAGCCGTAGTCCTCAGGTCAGCTGTCTGCTGAGTCACCACCACTGAGAGGAAATGGAAGAGAGAGAAAACAGTAGCACTGGCACTTAATTTTACTTTCTGTTTTTTCCCTAGATGGCTGTTCCCTCTCACAGGATTTTCACACATCTACGTGGGTCCGTTGGGCACAGAAGAATTGTTCACCCCTGTCTGTGCTATTCCTGCTAAAATAAAGGCTACATGTTCACTTTGTACTCTTGCATGTATACACACCATACACAAGCACAAGGCTTCCCCCCCAAAATCCTGGGAACTATAGTTCACCCTTCATAGAGCTGCAATTCTCAGCACCCCTTGACAAGCTACAGTTTCCACCATACTGTTCCCAGGATGCTTTGGGGGAAGTCATGTGCTTTAAATGTGATTTAAATGTATGGTGTTGCATGCGGCCACTGAAAAAGGAAGCAACTCACCCCTTGTCCTTTTAGCTTCTTATCATGTATCTCCACTACAGCACCACACCAAATCCAGTCAACCTGAAGTACAGTTCTGGCGATACAGCTCTCCTGTGGATTAGAGAACCAAACGGAAGTACAGCGTCTTCATCCTAGCTGTGGGTTTTTGCTTGCTTATCTGTGGAGATGCTAGTGGCAAGCCCATGTGACAGGAAGACGCAATTTCCTGTATCGCACCAAGTCATCGTGTTGGGTTCATACGTTGCACTTGGTAGATTACACTTGTTGGAGATGGTAGATATGAATACATTTTTGCGTTTCTTTTTCTAGTTCTTTTAAACTGCCAGGCCAACGCTATGTTAAAGGTAAAGGTAAAGGGACCCATGACCATTAGGTCCAGTTGTGGCCGACTCTGGGGTTGCGGCGCTCATCTCGCTTTATTGGCCGAGGGAGCTGGCGTACAGCTTCTGGGTCATGTGGCCAGCATGACTAAGTCACTTCTGGCGAACCAGAGCAGCGCACAGAAATGCCGTTTACCTTCCCGCTGGAGCGGTACCTATTTATCTACTTGCACTTTGACATGCTTTCAAACTGCTAGGTTGGCAGGAGCAGGGACCGAGCAACGGGAGCTCACCCCGTCGCGGGGATTCGAACCGACCTTCTGATCGGCAAGTCCTAGGCTCTGTGGTTTAACCCACAGCGCCACCCGCATCCCAATGCTATGTTAGAACTGCTTAATTTTCCATTACAGTATTTAAAAAGCTTATTTGAAGTATAATTCCACTTTCTTCCCCCTTTCTACCATTCCCCATCCCCTCAAGTTTCCCTAGGAATCAGCATTTTGTTTACATCAGGGATAGGGTACCTGGGGCCCTCCAGACGTTATTGGACTACTACTCCCATCGCTCCTGACCATTGGTCATGCTGGCTGGGGCTGATGGGAGTTGGAGTCCAGCCAGTGGCGTAGCGTGGGGGGTGCAGGGGGGGCCGGCCGCACCGGGCACAACATCTGGGGTTAGGGCAAATCCACAGGTTAGGGGGCGCAAATCCACGGGTTAGGGGGCGCAAATTACTTGCCTTGCCCCGGGTGCTGACAACCCACGCTACGCCACTGAGTCCAGCAACACGCTGCAGAGCCACAGCTTGAGAGGGCTGATGCAGCAGTTCTAAGCTCACAGATGCACAACACAGTCATAAATATGTTTACTTGGAAGGAGATCCCTCTGAGTTCAATGGGGTTTACTCCTAGGTTAGCAAATGTAAGGTTTCAGCTTTAAAATGGTTCAACAGACATTTCCTCTTCCCAGGGAATCCAGGGAATAGTCCTGAGGGAGAATAGGTTATTTGACAGATTTGTTAGTGCTATCTCACCAAACTACAGTTCCCAAGATTTTTTGGGGAAATAGAAGCTTGTTACTTTAGTATAAATCTGATATAGGTTGCAGTGTAGTATATCCTGTTAGTGAGGCAAGCATATGTAGAGTGAAGTTTCCTGTAAAGTGTAGCTATGCAGAAACCTTCCTTTTAGGCAACTCAGACCCCATTTTGAACTTTACATCTAAAGCAGTATCACAGACCTTCCAAGTGTCCCTATTTTCCAGGGACGACCCTGTTTTAGAGAAGCCATCCCGGTTACTGATTTGATCCTGGAATGTCTTTTTCCTTAGGATGTCCCTATTTTCAATGGAGAAATGTTGGAGGGTATGGAGTTATCCAGCCCCTGAGCCATCTAAAGGCAATCCCGTATAGGGAAGTGTTTTTTTAAAAAAAGTTTAATGTTTTATTATGTTTTCTTATATGTTGGAAGCTACCCAGAGTGGCTGGGGCAACCTAGTAAGATGTGTGGGGTATAAATAGTAAAATTACCACTGTGGAATGGGACGTCCCTATTTTCATTGGAGAAATGTTGGAGGGTATGGTATCATGCTGCTTTAAGCAGTCATGGCTTCTCCCAAGGCATCCTGGGAAGTTAAGGATGGTAAGTTGATAGGATAACCCTATTTCCCTCACAAAGCTACAATTCCTAGAGGGGTTTAACAATCACTCCCTTTACCCAGTGAATTCTGGAAATTGTAGCTCTTTGAGGGGAATAGGGGTTTCCTAACAACTCTCAACACCATTAAGAAGCCACAGTTCCCAGAATGCTTTGGGGGAAGACATGAATGTTTAAACTGGTGTCATAGTGCTTTCAATGTATAGAGCAAATGTGGCCTTTGAGAGGATGATGATGGCGACGAAAAGAGTGATCAGTACATCCTTTCCCATTATACAAGGCTCTCCTTCCTGAGAGCGGACATCTAACAGTGGAAATATGCACACATAGTAAGCCATACCATAATACAGTAGTCCTCTCCGATAACTCGAGAGACTTGTGCTTATTTGGTCCGAACGTGGCCCCTTTGAATAAATGAAGTTGTTGACTTCTTTGCAAGCTGTCGTTCAATACAAACCTAACCTAGGAGTTTGCTCCAGGTAGATGCTGGAGTGGGGGAGGACTACATCTCCCAGCGTCCTTTGTATAACAGGTGAGGCGCAGGGTGTGGTCTGAGACTGCCGAGACGGGACAAAGGAGACCTTGGAGGGGGAAAAAGTTTTCTGAATCTTGTGGCTAAGATTCTACTGATCAAAACCACAGGATCCCACCAGGTTAGTGAGTAAGATGCCGCAGAAAGGCTGCTTGTGACTTGCTGGACTGAGAAATAACTCAGTTCCCCTTGTTTTGTAAGTACTGAAACATTTTCTTATTGCCTCTGATGATCTGCCGCTGTGTTCTGAGCGGGGATGGGCTACAAACTGAGGACTTTTCTTGTGTCCCCGATGCGTAATCGTTCTGATTCTCAATAGTCTCAGCGTGGGAAGGTAACAAAACTGCTCTGGAAGACCCGTGACCGTCCCTTCTTCTCACACCCACTCGGTTGTACATGTAGTAGAAGTACGGCCTCTTAGATACTCTATCGTGTTTGGCCAAAACGCTTCTGGCCCATCCTTTATGGTTCAAGAGAGAAAGGGAATAAGATGCCCACGGCGTGCATGTACACAGAAGCAGCTGCCTTTGCTCCCTTCCTCATTCTCTCCCTCCAGGCAGCAAGGGGAAATAAAGAGAGAAAGGCAATAGGAGCAGCTTAGTTTGCTGCAGGGTCCTAAAACTAGTGCCTCGCCAGGAGTCGTGGGCTGGAATCAGGTATGTTTTTGTTTTGTTTTGATTTATTTAGTAAAAATAAATAAATCTGCCTTTCTCTCTATTGAAAGCCTTCAAAGAGGGGATGGGGTAAAAGCAGAAATGGGGTACTCTTGGCATGATGGGCAAAAGGTTATCCAGTGGGACAAGGTGGTGTGAAGTTATTAGATGTGCAGCTATTCCTTTTAGAAGTTCTAAGTCACTGCTGCACACAGGAAAGCTTCCCTTGCCTCAACCGAAGTATTGTTTTATTTACTTGTAGCAAAATGCCCAAGACATTGCTAAATATAGTTCATGATGAGAAATATAACATAGCTGCAGTAATTATACGGAAATTTTGGATGCAAGATAGCTCTGAAACCTTTTATTTTCACTATAACATGATTTTAAAGTCAGCCCCTGTGACTTGGTGTGTGTGGAATTTTTCTAGTTAGTAGGGCTAGCTGGGCCTCACCTTTCATATTCCACGTACCCTACTGGAGCACTTTCAAACAATGAAAAGTAATGCTAGGGTCACAGGCAAGTTTACTTGCAAGAAAATGCCAATGACCATGGTTGACTTGCTTCCGAGTAGCCCAAGATGTTAAGCGCCAATGTAAGAAAGGGGAATTGGGTTGTGGTGCCTGGACTTTTTTTTTCAAAGGTAGTGTTTTCTGCCAGAATGCCAGTGTGATAGACAGTCTCCTTGTTCTGGCAAGTAAATGAGGTGATAATGTTTGTGACAGATTAGCATAGAGGAAGTTTGGGGTTGAGCAAAATGAGCAAAGGCTGGGTACTGCTTTCCTTTTCTTTGATGTGGTCCTTGTTTCACAGTGGCAGTTTAAATGGAAACTTTTCGTTAAAAGTTAAAGGTTGTTTTTCAGCTGACTAGAGATATTTTGTTAAATGCCAGTGTGCTTTACAAATTAAACCTATACTCCTAGGTAATTATATACTGTACTGTATATGATTTTAGTTGGGATGATCCTAATAAATTGGATATTCTGCTAAGTGGTGCTGCTTGCTAGGTGTGGGTGTGTTGTACTCTCCTTCGAGTGAGGCTGTGAAGGCTGTTTTGATTAACTCCTGCATTTCAGAATTTACCGCTGTGCTTCTCTGACTCCTCCTGGGCTGTCCTGCTGTATCAGACCAGATAATATGAAAGAGCTGTTTGCAGAAAAGGAATAGGGGGAGGGTGGAGGATGAGGCTGCAGCCTGTGCTTCTTGGCACAGCAGAAGCAGAGATCTTTGGAACACTTTCTTGGCCCTGCAGGCAAGCCTTGGGCATGCAGCAGTTCTATTGTTTCCATTATTTCAGAAGCTGCTGTGGAGAGAAAGTAAGAATGCAAAGGTATGTCAGGATGGAAGCATGCCTTTGCCTTCTGCCAGGGAAGTAGGATGCACTGGGCTAGGCTCTCTCTAGCCCTGAAAGTGTGAGAAATTTCATGGAGTTCAGAGGTCTTCTGGGTGTCCTTACACTGGTAAGTAAGCTATCTGGTTTGGGGATGAGAATTACCAATTGCACTAAGGGCACATGCTGCCAGCTTTCTTTCTGCATTCCTATTTGGGTGCTGAACTGGCAGTGCAAAAAGTGTTTTTGAAAGAGGCACTGTTTCTCTGGAGGCACCACCCTACTCACTGCAGGAAGCCAGATGTGAGCCCTGCCCTGCCCTTGTTAACTGGCAGGTGATCAGTTCATTCCAAAAAACCCCACTACATCTGGAATGCAGCAGCACAAAGGCACCAGAGCAGTGCTTCTAATTGCTTAGCCAATCCTGGCTCTCATGGGTGACCATCCTGAGACTGCTTTGATTTTTCATTTAGGACAGGAGGCGGTGAACCTATTTCCCTCCAGATGTTGGACTCCCAACTCCTAGCAGCCCCAGCCAGCATGACCAATGGTCAGGAATGATGAGAGTTGTAGTCTGGCAACATCTGGAGGGCCACATGTACCCCCTCCAATGTTCTAGGATTCCCACATGATGGTCCTGACCTGCCCATCCTCCCCTGCATGTGACCTAGTGTAGGAGGTTTCACTCTAACTGAGCAACAGTAGCTTTAGCAGTTCTGGTGTTGAATATGGGCTTCTTGGTTCTTAAGAATTCATACAGGAAAGCATACTTCCATATGGAAGAAAGCGCAGAAGCATCATGTGACAACTTTACACGT